CGTCACGTGACCGCCCAGCGGCTCGGCCGTGCGGTCATGGTGGGGGTCGCGTGCCGGAATCGGCCCGAAATGCGCAAATCCTCTCTCTCTCTTGCGATTACTGATATAAAACATTAAAATTATGTGACACAACTATTGTAGAAGATAGAGATATGAATTCATCCAGTGAAATCTTCGCGACAATTGTAACATTTTCCACTAATATATATTCTTCTGTCGACACTCATGTGTAATCATGTGTAATCGCAGTCGTTAGTAGACAGTAATTTCATCGAAGAAATGGTTTATAGTTAAATGCAAAAACAATCACGATACTTTTATGTAAACACCATTTGCAAGATGAACAGCGTATAGATACTAGACGAACGATATCTAGTATCATTCAGAAAAAAACTAACGTGCCTTTCCACAATTCAGGGGTTGACAACCTCCGCAACATGTGTATGTACATTCGATTCCGTCTAAAAAAAAAACGTTTGCGCCCCATATACTGTCTTTAGCTGCAAACTCCGTCATACACTTATGTATAATATCTTGTTTCATAATACATGTCGCTCGAATCAATCTTAATGCTTGTTTCTATTTTCTGCATTTTTTCTCTTGCCACACGAAAGAAGTAAATACATCAAATATTTTTAAACTAGTATATATATATATATATAATACTTCATTTTTTAAATCTTACATATACATTTGCTTTGCTACTAATAACATTTCTTATTAAATTATACATATTTCGCACAAATAACGGAATAAATCTGGTTTTCCAAAATTAACGTCGCTGCTTGTCTAAAATTTGCTTATTTGTCTATTATTGATTTGAACTATTGTCTCATGTTCCATATCATTTCGTCATACTTGTACCATGATTTCAAATTTGTAATTGTGTAAATAGTAATATGTACATATATTCTTTCTTTAAGAAAATCCCTTAAAGGTACAACATAAATCTATTCTATTATCATCTTTCTCTATATTCAATCCTTTACAATTTATTGTTTATATAATCATAAAGAAAGATAGGGAAATCTATAAATCATTTTATTCAACATAGATATATTCGATTTAATATATAACATATGTATTACAGATATGAATGAAAAGATATCCTACGATGTAGTAGGTATGTAACACGATACATGTGGTCCCTTTATTAATTATGGGATTACGAATATCTCTCATCTTTTAACACTAAGATACACAAAAATAATATATATACACACATATGTATATGCCGTGCCAGTGTAATCACAGTCTGTAATTGTTTTACACTTCACCTTCACTTATCTAACATCTTCGGAAAAATTGAGCAAACTTATCTTCTATTATTCTATAATAAAATGAAAAACTAGTTTCCTGATCGGCATACGATCAATAGATATTGAGTTACTCGTATCGACATCCGAAACACTCCGATTCGGATTGTCGCTCCGATTTCGTCATATAAGTGAAAGTGTAAATCAGTAAAGAAAATTAATTACCGATATATATATATATGAGAATTACGGCAATTATACAGTGAAATAATATACTTGGAATGACACGCGCGCGCGCACACGTGTTAGTAGAAAAAATTCAAAATAAACTAGTTTATTAAAAATCAGATATATTGTACTATCTATTGCATTCGTTCAAACTGAAAATCCTGAAAAATACGTTTAATATTTAATTACGTTTAACACTTACAGCTCAATTGGAATAACAAAATTACATGTTCGAAATGTGTACTTCCAATACGCCATATAACTGATATTACGACTTCAATTTTCTTTTACTGGCAGTGTTTACTCCACATCATCCTTTAAGCAGTTTAATAGAATTTCGGATTCGTTGAGAAACGCACATTTAAATAACACAATATATATGCTTCAAATATATAATACATATGATTTTTATTTGAAATATTAAATTATGCAAGTTTGTAAGAAAGAGTTATATAAACATGACGAAAAATTTATCGCAATAATATAGACAATGACGTAAGAATAAGTAATAATAATTAATAATTATGACAAATATTAATATAATAATGACGATGACAGTGATAATGATAGTGATGATAATGATGATAATAAAATAATAATACTTATAACAGGTAACAATGCAGTCCTCTAGTTTTGCATAAAAAATTTTTTTATAACAATTTGGTTAATCTAGATGACTGCTTAAAAGTTGTTATAGAGTATAAGTTCATAAATAATTTCATCAGTCACAGAATGGCAACTTGGACTTATTCTTGTCGTGGATTTAATACGATTTGGCACATAATAATAAGCGTGTAGA